GGGACTCAACTGCTTACTTCTCTCCCTTGTGAAAACTGTCCATTTATTCTTTCTCTTTGCTTCCTGTCATTTAAACAGTTTTTAATCCGTAAGAGGACCCATCCTCTTATCCTATGACTGCTAAGTTTACTCAGGAGTCTTTGGTGAGGTACCTTGTCAAAAGATTTTTTGAAAGTCTATGTATATAATGTCTACCAGGTCAGTATTGTCTACATGCTTGCTCACTTTCTCAAAGAATTCCAAAAGGTATGTGCCTAATAATTCTATTTTTTATTTCAGTTTTTACTAATTTGCCTGTGACAGACATTAGGCTGACTGGACTGTAATTTCCTGGTTCCCCTCTGGACCCCTTTTAAAATAATCGGTGTAACATTTGCTACTCTCTAGTCTTCTGGCACAGCGGCTGAATATGACAGATTACATGTACAGGTTAGTAGATCAACTATCTCACATTTGACTTCCCTAAGAATGCTCGGGTGTATGCCATCAGGACCTAGAGACTTATCCGTTTTTAATTTCACCAGCAGGTCTAGAACTTTGTCTCTTGTCACCTCAATTTGACTCCAGACTTTAGACTCCTTTCCTGAAAATAGTGACTGCGGCATGGGTACATGCCCTGTACTTTCCACAATGAACACAGAAGCATAATATTCACTCAGCTTCTCTGCCATCTCCCCATCTTCCTTTAGCAATCCTTTTATCCCTTGGTCATCCAAACGCCCAACTGCTTCTCTGGCTGGTTTCCTACTCCAGATATATTTAATTAAATGTTTATTGTTTGTCTTGATGCTTTTAGCAACCTCCTCCTCAAATTCTCTTTTGCATGCCTAATTGTTGATTTACACTTCTTTTGCCAGAGCCTGTGGTCTGTAGCATTCAATTTATTTCATTGAGGCAGACCTTCCATTTTTTAAAATAAGCCTCTTTACTTTTTATACCTTCCTTGACTTGCATTGCTAACCATGCAGGCATTCTTTTAGACATGGCAGTGTCTTTCCTAATCCGTGGAATGCATTCTATCTGGGCTTCAATTACTATGGTTTTACATAACTTCCAAGCATCCTCTAGGGATCTGACTCTCTTGTGTTTCCCCCATTCAGCTTTCCTTTAACTCTTCCCCTCATTTTTGTAAAGTTCCCTCTTTTGAAATAAAATGTTACAGTTTTGGATTTAAGGGGTAGCTTTCCACTAACATGAATACGGAACTTAATAGTACTGTGGTCACTGTTCCTAACTGGTGCAACAACCTCTACATCTCTCACCAGGTCTTGAGTCTTGCTTAGAACCAAATTCAAGATCACTATCCCTGTGGTCGGCTCTGGAACCAACTGATCTTGTGCACAGTCATTTATGATGTCTAGGAATCTCATTCCTACAGCATGACTCGAGCACATGTTTACCCTGTCAATGTGAGGGTAGTTAAAGTCTCTCAGTATAAAAACATTATCTGCTTTAATCACCTCCCTTATTCCCTTCTCCATCTCATGATCAGCCTCAAGGGTTTGATCAGATGGGCAATAGTACAAACCCACTTTTAAGTAACACTTATGGCCCAGTATTTCCACCCATACTGCTTCAGTTGGGGAGTTAATTCTCCTAATGTTTTCTAACTTATTTGATTCTATGCTCTCTTCAATGTACAACACAACACCTCCACCAATCCCTCCCTCCCTATCCTGCCTGTGAAGCTTATCCCCAAGGATAAGAACATAAGACGAGCCCTGCTGGATCAGACCAATGGTTCATCTAGTCCAGCATCCTGTCTCACACAGTGGCCAACCAGTTCCTCTGGACGGCCAACAACATAGAGGATGAGGCCTTCTCCAGATGTTGCATCCTGGCTCTGAGATTCAGAGACTTGGTGCCTCTGAATGTGGAGGTTCCCCTCAGTCACCATGGCTAGTAGCTGTTGATAGTCATCCTCCATGAATCTATCTAATCCCCTTTTAAAGCTGTTTATTCCTGTGGCCGTCACTACATCCTCTGGCAGTGAATTCTATATCATAATCGCTCTCTGTGTAAAGTAGTATGACTGTATAACATTTTCCCCACTCCACCTTGTTTCTGAGATACCTATTGTATCTAAATGGTCACTGAGCACCAAGCACTCCAGCGCCTCCATTTTGGCTCAAAGACTTCTAGCAGTGGCATACAGACACCTATAATGTGTTATTTTTCCAGCAACCCTCACCTCCCTTTGTTCCTTCTGTTGCCACACATAGCCCTCCTTCACCATCCTATCCTCACTCCCAAGTTCTATTATGTTATCAATATTACCCTGAGTGTTCACACAATCATCCATTTGGACTGATTTGTCCCAAACTGGAGGCTCATCAGCTCCTGTCGGCTTTCTCCCAGGATTATTTTAAAAGCTGCTCTGCCACCTTTTTGTTATTAATTGCCAGCGGTCTGGTTCCCTTTTGGTTCAAGTGAAACCTGTCTCTTTTGTGCAGGTGTGGCTTGTTCCAAAAAGTTCCCCAGTGCCAAACAAATCTAAACCCTTCCTCCAACACCACTTCATTCACACATTGAGACTCCTGATCTGTGCCTGTCTAGATGGCTTTAAGCATAGGATTGGTAGTATTTCTGAGAATGCTACCTTTGAGGTCATAGCCTTTAACTTTGTGCCTAGCAACCTAATTAGGTGTGCTTTCACCTACCTTAAGCTTCTTAATAGACTCAAAGAAACACCATCCCACCTACTGTTCTTCAGTAGGCATTAGACATGAAAACGTTTTCTTGAAAACCTCCAGTATCAAATGCAATCTTTTCTTTTGCTTTTGATAAAACTTGTACCTTCACACTGCACCTTTCTACCACTTTCTGTCACTTTACTACTAGAAGACAGAAGGTTCTAGGAAAGACCTTTCATCGACTGACATCCTGGAGAGCTGCTGCCAGTTGGGTTAGCCACCAATGAATATAAGACCTGTCATTGGTCAACCTGAAGATTTCTCTGTCTAAACTTCAAGAAACATCAAGTTGTTACATGTCTATATTTAGCAGGTGCCACAGAATGCAAAAACTGCAATTCGTGTTACAGATGTAGTCAGTTTGAGCCATTGTGGCTGTAGTAAAAAGACTAAAATGCAGTCCTCGGTTGTAAGGAATAATACCATTTTTTATACATTAGCTGATCTCAGTGCATTTTAAAGATTCCTTTTTTTTGCTGATCTTATGCAATATCCATCTTTAACATCTTTGGTATCTAGGCTCTCAGACAATGCAGAAGCAAATTAGTCCTTTGGTCCTTAAAGACAAATACACTGAAATCCAAACAGGTATTAGGTTAGCGCCTAATAGTCAATAACACTGACTAATATCCAAACTACTTTGCCAGTGTACCAGAATTATAGAGTAGAAAATATTTGATTCCCTTGCTTATCAATGAAATGGCACTGGAGCCTCTCAAGGCTCTCTCTCAACCTTATTTACTAATATGAAGTGACTCTTATAGTAACTTCTTTCCTGGGTTACAGAGATAAAAGCTTTAAGGATATGCAAAAATGTAAGCAAGCATGCAAGAGAACAATCTGTCCACAATCCCAAGTCGTTGAGATAGTAAAGACAAATTGCACACATGCAGCTACAATACCCATGAAAATGCTGGTCACAGTTCAATGCGGGTGAGCTTAGGAACACCCAAACTATATTTGCCAGTTCTGATCCCTCTTTTAGATTACTACAATAGGCTGGGATGCATGTATCATGCCGGTAGAGGAGCACACTCCAGAAGAGTGGAAAAGAAAAAGGACTGAGGCTTAATTCAACATGGTATTAAAAATTGACAGGGTTCCTGTACATAAATAGACACATTACTTTTCACCTACAATTTTCAATCTATCATTCAGTTTATATACAACTATTGCCAGAGCTGGACATTTCCTTAATGTTTACTATTAGAAAGGGACGCCAGGTAAGCCCTCATAGCTATCAAACTTGATTTCCTTCTACGATTGTTAACTGTTAATGGTAGCTACATTAAATTTCAATTAATAGCACTAGATGCAAAAAGATCTTGTTGCAGATGTATTACTTATCATATTTATTTGTATTGTATTTATTGTATTTTAAATGTTGTAAGCCACCCCAAGTCCCCTGTGGGGAGAGGGTGCAGGGTATAAATTAAATAAATAAATAAATAAATAAAAATAACAAGTTTGATAGTCTTCTACTATCTTTGGATTTGAAGTAATACATTCAGCTGTATTATAGCTTTAAAATGTATTTTCTAGAGAATTTTAAAACTTAAAATATTATAGTATGAACTGCAAATGCAAGAACACTCAAGATATATTCAGCCTGGATGTTCAATAAGAATTATAGCTTATGCCATGCATTGAAGACTTAGATCCTATGAACACTTACTTGGGAGGGTCAATTTCCTTAGTGTTAAAAGAGCAAATCTATTAGTTATACATTTCTTACATCTTAACTAGTCTTCATCAACATAAATGACTCACCATATTTTATTTCAGTTCAGTTTGTTTTCTATCATATTAATCTCATCAGTGCAAGAACCTACATATCTGCTTACTACAGCAACACAAAACTTTAAACAGAACTGTGATTAAACACCAATTCTCAGAGGCTTATTTTCTTCAACATTCAGTATAAGAACTGTACCTGAGGATGATTTGTTTATCTTCTAATTCTCCTTACTTGTAATCAATAATCTAAAAGCCTCTTTTAGAACAATGTAGAGAGTGACAACATCACCATCCCACAATTGCGAACAAAATACAGTGTCTCTAAACCCGATAACTGAATGTAATGTTTTCAGGTATCCAGCAAATAATCTCTGCCACATACGCTCTGCTCTGGCAGAGTGATTTTAATTTGGGTCAACTGAAAAATAGTATTCAGTTTAGAAGGTTTCTCCAAGATCCATTAATTGCCATGCTAATTTTGCCCTTAATACAAAAACTTATGTTTCTAATTCTACTTCCTGGAATAAAAGAACAAGGCTGGAATCTCTACAACTTAGATAAAAATATTACCTTGTGTATAGGCAGCATCATCGGATCCCATACTCAGTTTCCGCGCATCACTAATCCTATCGACATGTGCTAAAACAGGGTCAGGAAGGTGTTGGATACCCTCCGTCTCTGCAAAGTGATCAGGAAGGTTTAGAAGATTTGTAGGTTCAAAGGTTGGGGAGACTACCCCTGGTGAAACTGCAGGGGGTTTATTAGGAGAAACAGTAATTTTAAAAGTATATTTTGTGTTTGGCTGCGTAACCACCACTCGGGGAGAAGTGGCAGTGGCATTATTGCCTGCTGCTCTGCTCTTAGGAGGTTGATGGTGAATAAATGCAGGTCCCATGCTTACTTGACCAGACATATTCCTAGATGCTGTAACTCCCGGGTTTGTTGATATGAAGAGCGTGGGCTGATTCCGTACAAGTTGTTCATCTCCTGTAGAGGCATTGGCTGAAATGTAGACCTTCGGCTGACTTCGTGTGATAATTTCATCAGTATTTGGTGGACTGGCAGCTATGTAAACAGTGGGCTGACTTCTGCTTAAAGTCTGGCTGTTTAGGGAAGAGGAATTTGAGGATGACCGAGGCCCAGTTGAGCGCAGTTTTGATGAACTATTTCTTTGTGGTGGTTCAAGTTTGATTTCAATTTGGTTTTTCCGAGGTCCTGTTGAGATATTTTGAATATTGTATTGACTCTGGGTGGAAGAAGATTGTGAGCTACCAGATGAGTGAATTGTAGGTGCTTGTGGAGTTGTAGGAGAACTTATGGGCATATAAACATGGGAGGTCTGATGGCCTTGCTGATTTGGCTGCGTTGATTGCTGCGATGAGGTATGTGGCAGGGTGCTGGTTGTAGGAATAGTTGTCCAGGGACTTGGTTGTGAAGGATGGTAGTTCTGCTGAGAATGCATGGGAGTAAACTGAGACGTCCAGCCTGGATTTTGATGAGTCTGACGAGCTGTACCACTAGGCGGTGTGAAGTAAGGTCTAATATAGATAGAATTACCTTGTGGACTGTTTACTGAAGGTGGAGGTACGCCATGTATGTGCAAAGATGTAGGAGTATTTCGACCAGGTTGAATATTTGGAGCTAAAGTTACCATAATAGGATTGAATCTAGGAGTTTGCTGAGCCAGACTAGATGTTCCTTTGCTGCCCAAGTGAAATCCAAAATGCTGCCCTGGATTAGAAGTATTAGATATGCCAAAGAATCCCTGCG